AAGATTATGATATTACTATCCTATATCATCCAGGTAAAGCAAATGTAGTTGCAGATGCCTTGAGTAGAAAGGCGGATAGTATGGGTAGTTTGGCTTTCATTTTAGCAGAAGAGAGGCCATTAGCTTTGGATATCCAGTCCTTGGCCAACAGACTTATGCGACTAGATATTTCAGAGCCCAGCTGAGTTCTTGCATGTGTCGTAGCTCAGTCTTCACTATTTGAGCAGATCAAGGCTCGCCAGTATGATGATCCACACTTAGTGGTTCTTCGAGAAACGGTACTACGAGGTGGTGCCAAAGAAGTTACTATTGATACGGATGGTGTTCTGTGACTCTAGGATCGTCTATGTGTTCCTAATATGGATGAACTGAGAAAAAAGATCCTGGAGGAGGCACATAGTTCTCGGTATTCTATTTATCCAGGTACTACGAAGATGTATCGTGACTTGAGGCAGCATTATTGGTGGCGACGAATGAAAAAGGACATAGTTGAGTATGTAGCTAGGTGTCTAAATTGCCAGCAAGTCAAATATGAGCACCAGAGGCCAGGTGGCCTACTTCAGCAGATGACTATACCAGAGTGGAAATGGGAACGAATTACTATGGACTTTGTAGTTGGGTTGCCACGGACCTTGAGGAAGTTTGATGCAGTTTGGGTGATTGTTGACAGGTTAACCAAGTCGGCAGATTTTATTCCTGTTGTGACTACGTATACTTCAGAGAGATTGGCCCAGATTTATATTCAGGAGATAGTTCGGTTGCACGGGGTGCAAATTTCCATCATATCAGATAGAGGCCCTCAGTTTACTTCACATTTCTGGAGAGCAGTACAGAGTGAATTAGGGACCCGTGTAGAGCTCAGCACAACCTTTCATCCGCAGACCGACGGGTAGTCAGAGCGGACAATTCAGATTTTGGAGGATATGCTCAGGGGATGTGTGATTGACTTTGGAGATCAGTGGGATTATTTCCTGCCTTTGGCCGAGTTTGCTTATAATAACAGTTACCAATCCAGCATCGAGATGGCTCCATTTGAGGCTTTATATGACTGTCGATGTCGTTCACCTATCGAATGGTTTGAGCCCGGTGAGGCTAAGTTATATGGTACTAATTTGGTAAAGGATGCCTTGGAAAAGGTTAAGTTGATTCAGGAGCGACTCCGTACAGCACCATCAAGACAGAAGAGTTACGCGGATCAGAAAGCACGTGATTTATCATTTATGGTAGGTGAAAAAATTCTCTCGAAGGTTTCGCCGATGAAGGGAATTATGAGATTCGGGAAGAAGGGAAAGTTGAGCCCAAGGTTTATAGGCCCATTTGAGGTGTTGAGAAGAGTTGGGGAGGTTGCTTATGAGCTTGCATTGCCTTCCAATCTATCGGGAGTTCATCCAATTTTCCATGTAGCTATGTTCCGTAAGTATCATGCTGACCTATCACATGTGTTGGACTTCAGCACAGTTCAGCTAGATCAGAGTTTGGGTTATGAAGAAGAGCCATTTGCCATTATTGATAAACAAGTTCGCCACTTGAGGTCCAAGAGGATTTCTGCAGTAAAAGTCCAATGGAGGGGCCAACCAGTTGAGGAAGCGACTTGGGAGGCCGAGGAAGACATGTGGAGCAGATATCCACACTTATTCAGCACTCCAGGTACAACTCTAAATCCGTTCGAGGACGAATGTTTGTTTAAGAGGTAGAAAATGCAATGACCCAAACGGTCATTTTAACTTTTTGAACCCCATTCCCTAAAATAAAACTTTCTGTATGTACTTTTAATGATTATTGACTTGCGGGGATGGTTGGTCCGGGATTTGAAAGTGTTTGGGTTGAAATCGGGATACTTGGTTCCTTAAGTTAACCTTAAAGGGGCAAGTTTGACTTCGGTCAACATTTTGATACCCCAAAATCGGGATTTGACGGTCCCAATAGGTTCGTATGATAATTTTGGACTTGGGCGTATGTCCGAATCTGGTTTTGGATAACCCAGGAGCGTTTTGACGCTTAATAGTAAAAATCAACTATTTGAAGGTTTAAAGTTCTTTAAATTTGGTTTGGAGTAGATTTTTGAGAAATTAAAGTCCGTTTGGAATTCCGAGTTTGGGAATGGCTCCGTATAGTGATTTAAGACTTGCACGCATAATTTCGTGTCATTCCGAGTAGTTTAAGTATATTTCGGCGCATTTGAAAGTAATTTGAAGAAATTAAAATTTTTAAGTTTGAATCAATTTAGTTTAGGGTATGATTCTTAGTTTTGATATTATTCTACGCGTCCCGAGAGTTCGAGCGAGTCCGTTTTATGATTTCAAACTTGTTGGTATGTTCGAGCGGGGTCCCGGGGACCCCAAGTGTCAATCGCACAAGGCTCGGACCAAGTTGGAAGTTGGGAGCCAAAACTGAAGCTCCTAGCTACGGTCAGAATCGCACCTGTGCTTAGCCAGTCGCAGGTGCGACATTCGCAGATGCGACAGAAGCTCGCAGGCGCGGCACTCGCATATGCGAGATTTTGAGCGCATAAGCGGAAAAAGAGAAGGGGCAATCCACCGTAGGTGCGGACGATTTGCACACCTACGAACGCGCAGGTGCGGGGATTTTTGTGCAGATGCGATCGTGGCCCAGGCGAGTGAAACTCGCACCAGCGAGGAATTTCCGCAGGTGCAAAATCCGCAGGTGCGGTACCCCTTCCGCAGGTGCGAAACCACTGCTTTGCAGAATGGTTAAAAATCGGGGCTCACACATTTTGAGCCCATCTTCTCTCCATTTTCGGGCGATTTCAAAGCTTTTGAGAAGGGAGTTCAACTAACAATTTGAAGGTAAGTTAATTCTACACTCCTTGAGTTAAATACATAGATTATAAGTAGATTATAACTAGTAAATCTTAGAAATCAAAAGTTTAGGTGAAAAACCTAGATTTTTATAAAAATGAGATTTTAACCACGAAAATAGTTATGAAATTAGGTAGAAATTATATATTTGAGTTCTTGAGATTATGTGTAACGTTTTCATCCGAAAATTTTCAGAACCCGGGCACGTGGGCCCGGGGTGAATTTTAAAAAATTTATCATTTTGGATAGGGTAATTTATTTAATAGATGAATTTCGAAATATTGAACATATATTAATTATTTTATATAACTTTTGAATAGTTTCGGATTTTTCGGCATCGAATCGCGAATTTTACGCGATGCNATATATATATATATATATATTGTGAATTGTTAGATCAAAATATTAAAGGATGGAAAAATTTATTTGTTTGATTATCTANATATATTGAGAATTGTTGCATTTGAAGAAATTTGATTATTTCCGCTGACTAAATAAATTATTTTTAAAACTCTGTAAATTACACTGATTTAAATATCCTAGTTATATTTTAATTATTATTGTTGACCCATAGTGAGTGTCAAAGTAGGTCATCTCGTCTCTACCACTTCGAGATTAGGCTTGATACTTACTGGGTACACGTTGTTTACGTACTCATACTACACTTGCTGCACTTTTGTGCAGGGACTGAGGCAAGTACTAGTGGAGGACCTATCGTCTTGCATCCACGTTATCCAGGTGCATAGTGGTGAGCTGTTTCTCTGATCCGTTCTGCAGCTACTAGTGTCTCTCTTTGTATTTTTTTATTTTTTCTATTTTTATTTCAGACAGTATTTGAGATTTTGTATAATCTACTAAATGCTCATACACTTGTGACACCAGGTCTTGGCACACACATTGGTAGAGTTTGGATTTTATTATATTTTCTTGGTTTAAATTTTATCAATGTATGCTTAATTTATTAGTTGGCTTGCCTAGCTGTAGTGTTGGGCGCCATTACGACTTATAGGTGAAATTGGGTCGTGACATATATTATTACTGTTTCTCATTTATTGAATTGTTCAATAAAATCAACAATTATCATTTTTCAGGAACTCATATTTTTTCCTTACACTTATTTTATAACTCAAATATAATTAGTTATATAGTAGTATGTATTTACTGAGACGGGATACATGCGCTGTCATAAGACTAGTAATATTAAAACATATGTGCAATGAATTACACAAAATTTGAAGAAAAAAATGAAAGACCGAAATTACTTTCATGAAAGAATATCTTCATTTTCGGGTGGCAATCAAAGTTGCCTTGGTGGTGATCAAAGTTGTCTGGGGAGAAATAAACATTTCTTTAGTATGTGTTATTTTATTTATACTGTAATATTGTTTTGATGATAAAATTTAATGTAACAGGTAATTTGCAGTTCTTGCATATTCTTTAATTAATTTCATGAGACAATCCATTTAAGCAACAAAAAAAAATGTAAAATGAAAGTATACAGCTCATCAAACAAAACTTTGCCATAAAAGTTGTTCAATCCCATTAAGCTGGAACATACACCATTTACCCAACCATATTGGGTGATATAGCTTATACATCATTCAATGATTTTTTTTCAAATTTCGACAAAATTAACAAAAACACATACTAAAATTTTGCTCCTCTCGGCATGTATCACTTGATAGTTGATACCCTACATATGTATGTGTCTTCATATATTACATATGAACATCACTTCGTCTATGAAAAACAGTTAGTTGACATTCCAATACAAAGTCATTTAGTGAAAGCATATATAAATTAAGAAGCAAATTATATCAATAGACACATTTAAAAAAATAATAATGTATAAGGGTATATAAACATTGTCGCAAAACAATGGCTATGGGGGTATAAACTAAAAAATATGGCTAGGTGGGTGCAAACTGTTGTAAAAAAAGGACAACCTGGTGTACTAAGCTCCCACCATGCACGTGTCCAAGGAAGGGCCGGACCACAAGGATCTATTGCATCGAGAAGGGCCCGGTGCAAACTGTTGTGTTTTCAAAAATTGCCCAAATACATTTTGTTGATGGTAAACAGTTGAAAACGGTTTAAAAGAAAAAAAATCCATTTATGAAATGAATACTAAACAAGTCACATTAATGGATACCAAACAAGTCTTTACACCATGTCGTTTCCTGGAGCAAACAAGTCTCACTTTAATTTGTCCGTTAGAAACAAATAAAGAAACTCTAATTTTTTCCTCATTATAAAATAATATTAATGCAGTTCAACGTAGTACCTACTGGCAGTCACTGGGAACAATTTTATATACAAATGATTAGTTAAGATCTATATATTGGTACCGTCCAACAGATATGTACTTAATACAGATGCAGAGATATATCAACCATTCAAGGACCCCTTGCAGAAGCAAGCTGCTTCTTGAGGCTGAGGATTTCAAGACCACTTGAAACTAACTGATCTTTCAGCTTTAATGAAGCCTCCTCAAATTTCTTGTTCATTACGTCCATCTCATCCAGCGCCTCATTGTACCTCACACGAAATGCACCCAATTTTGATTGTGCCCCTCGAAGTCTCATTCTCAACTTAGCTTTCTCATTGATATGGTTGACTTCATCCTGTTCAGACATATCAGATGATCACATCCACTCTCTTTTGCAAATAGCAGGACAGTCCAAGGAAAATAAGCTTAAAATAAACCGCCTGACTTGCTCAATTTGCTCTTAGAAGTTTAACATAAACCGCCTAACTTGGCTCAGATTGCTCTTAGAAGCTATGTTGCTCGGACTCTTCAAAGCTGTTGCTGGATGTGTGTCGGATCCTTCAAAAGTAGTGTATTTTTGGAGGATCCGATACGGGTGCGGCAGCATTTTGGAGAGTCCGCGCAACATAGCTTAGAAGTTACATGTGCAACTTGTCACAACCATGTGCTGAGTTCATAGTTATTCATACCCAAGGATACATCGCTTAATAACACATGCAAACATTTTCAGCAGATTGTCTTCATTATGCAGAAATTAAGCAAATGCAAAAGCTACATGTAGAAGCAGATGAGTAGAAAGCAAAAGCTACAAAATTATTTCCTTTCTTTAATCTCAATCATCACATAGAGCAATAGAGTATAATACTAAAAACCAAGAAAAAAAGAGAAAAGACAAATTATAAAATATAGCCACAAAAGGGTAACCTGTCATCTGTGCATCTCATCATAATCAAATATAGCTGCAATTGACCATGTATATGATTACTTACATCATGCATTTTGATCTCCAGAGATGAAAGCTTCTCGTTGAGCTGATCGACTTCATGATCTGAATTTGACAGCTGGACAACCAAAATATAGTGTTATCCTCAAGCACAGTAGAGAAAGTGTAAACATAATGAATTGGTAATAATCTGTCTCAGATAAACAAGAATCACTTCTCCTTTACTTGTTCTGAAAGAAGATTCGTCAATTAGCATTTCATGGCATTCAAGTGTATACCTGAAAGTCGTCTCTCTGAATTGGCACCGTCTCCGCTTCTCTAATACGGGCCAACAGATCTACTCTTTCTTTGCTAAGCATGCTTAACTCCATCTGAAGCCGTTCTACTTCCTTGCGCAGATCCTGATGCTCCAGTGTCAGCATCTGCAGTTGAAAATGTAACATTTCATTAGAAAAAGACCAGGTGTGCAGCATGGCAGTAACATATAATGATGCTGGAAACTTGGACAACAAAAGGATATCTACTGAATTGGTGTGCTACAGAAAAGGTCCTAAATTCAAATAGTATTGAATTAGACTGAAATCAGGAGATAAATTTGTCCTGCAAAGCTGCTGGTGGTGAAGAAACTGACAGCATCAAAATGGCATTTAGGATTTTTAATAAGCTTCATCAATTCATGATTACAGTTTCAGTGGCAACACCCGTTTTAAGTGCCTCCACATTGTAATTGGATATTTGAGAATCATGATTGAAGTTTCTTTAGGTTCAGATCACATAGTTTAGGATAAACATTCATGGGAACTTACTTTAGTGAGTTCTCATTGGCAGATGTGGAAGTCATTGCCCCTTTTTTTCATTTCAGTGTTTTGTGAGAGTAAGGAATGCACTTGAGATCTTCTTTGTACTTCACTTTTACTTATAGAAATTTGGGCTTATTTTATAGGTGATAACAGTAGCGTGAAATTCAACTAAAAGTTAGAAATATGGAGAAGCACTCTATATGGTAAACGTTTTAGAATAAGTAGAAGAAGGTAGACTATATGCAATGCAAGCTTAGCCTCCTTAAGTAGAAGGAAGGTAAGGAGATTGGATGGGATTGTGGTGACTAAATGTAAGACAATTTTGATCTAGTCTATTTCTGTTCATGTGCTTCGTTTTGATGGACTTGCATAATATCGAACAATTAGTTTATTGTTACAAATCTCCCAAACCTTTCTTTCTCTCTCTCTCTCTCTCTATCCCTCTTTCTCTCTCTTGTATCTCTATTCGTCTCTCATTCTTGTCTTTCTCATTTCTACCCCTTACCTTCCTCCCTTATGGCGCTACATCAAATTGGTACCAAAGCACAAGTTTAGAGTTGCTATGGAGTTGCACTCTTTATTACGAATCAGTATTACGCTGGCTACTCATTGCCAAAGAAGTTCGTCCAATCGATTGGTGGTTTCCCAAGTACTTAGATAGAACGATGAACTACCACTATATCCGGCTCACTTGTCAGAGTCAACTGTCGAGTTTTCTCCACTGCGAACAGAAAGAATTCAATCATGAGGATATCATTATCATTTCATATTATTTATCTTGATCTATTACGTAGAACTAAAATAACAGTAACCATGTTTTATTTTAGAGATAAGATTTTATCTAATTTTATCCTTTTAGTTAGAGAATAAAATGTCGTAGTTTCAAGAGTTCTAATTCAACCAAAACTTCCTATCTTATAAATAAGATCTTCATGTACTTTCTTTGACAAACTCAAATAACTTTGTTGCATTGATTTGGCATTAATACCCCCCTCCCTAATCTCTCTATTTCTATCTCGCTCTCTGTCTCTCTGTAATTCATTCCCTCTATGTTTCTCTCTCTTTCCTCCTCTCTTCCACCCTATTCTCTCCTCTCTCGATTATTCTCTCCATAGTCACCCCCCACCCCAACAACTCCCACCTTCCTTCCTTCTAGTGTTACATCACTACGTAGACCTAAAATCAATAGAGAGATATCACCAGATGGAACAAAGAAGAATTTGGGAAGGTAGAAACCAGGAAAACCAGGGCTCTTGATGAGCTAATGGCACTCGAACAAATGACAGAAGGTAGACAACTGACTTTAATCGAGTCCAATCAAATGATGAGCCTGAGAGTGGAGATTCAACAGCTAGCCAAAGCAGAAGAGATATCGTGGAGGCAGAAATCAAGGTGTCAATGGCTTAAGGAAGGTGACAGAAACACTAAATATTTCCAAAAGATTGCAAACTCACAAAGAAAGAAAAACTGCATAGACAGACTCTTAGTTGGCAATGAAATTATAGAAGATAAGGAGCTTATAAAAGCAGAGATACTGGAATTTTATGGAAACCCTCTATAAACTTTATAGAGGGTTGGAGAACAGGAGAATTGGAGACCCTCTATAAACTTTGAAGGCATAGCAACCATTACAACAGAAGAGAAGAATGGTCTGGAAGCACCTTTTGATGAAGAGGTACTAATAGCTATACAATCAAGTGCACCAGGCAAGGCATCAGGACCAGATGGGTTTACTATGGCCTTTTACCAGCACTCTTGGGAATTCATCAAACATGACATCCTCGCAGCCATGAGTCACTACCATCAGCATTGTTGGATGGTCAGGTCATATAATGCTTCTTTCATTGCATTAATCCCAAAGAAAAAAGGGGCTATGGAATTAAGGGACTACAGGCCAATTAGTCTCATCGGTAGTGCTTATAAGATCATAGCCAAGGTTCTTGCAGAAAGATTGAAAAGATCATAGCCAACTGCTGTCCGGTCTCTCAAAGCTTTTTGCCTATATTTAGTTGGGCTTATCTAGCCCCTGTAGATTCTCCTGATAGTTATCTGAACTTTGTTAGCTCCCTAGTGCTAAGCTGATTTTTTGCCTTTTTGTATTGGAGCTAGCAATTTTCATTACTTTTGTAACTATTCTGCATCTTCTTGATGCCATCAGTGAAACCAATTACTTCATCAAAAAAAAGACCTACAATCTCTCGAAATTAATTCAGACTTAGCTAAAAACATAACAAAATAAAAACAAAGGATCATATTAGGCAATACCAAATAGTTGAGATAAAGGCTTAGATATCGCTACACATACATTATGTCCGACTATTACAACAGAACACATGTTCCATTTATCTAAACAGAGTAAACAGATTAATCTGGGTGAATAGCAGGAATAAACTTTTTCCAGTAAACAACTGTTATAAAATGCTAGAACAACAGAACAGCCAGAAGATTCCTAATTGGCCATGGAAGATGATATGGAAGACCAAAGCACCTGTGAAAGCAGCTTGCTTTTGATGGTTAGCAGCTAGGGATGCCTGTCCAACTCAGCTTAAATTGCAAAGAAGAGGTTTCTCTTAGTGCAGCAGATGCTATGTTTGCAACATTGAGCAGGAAACTGTTGAACATTTATTTCTACACTGCACATTATCAAGACACTGCTGGGAGCTTTTTCTTACTATTATGGGAGTGTCTCTGGCGATTCCAGAGAAAATCAATCTTGGAAATCTGGCAAGCTCAAAAAGTGAAGAAAAACTTGAAGAAGATATGGAGGAACACTCCCATCTGTGTTTTATGGATGGCTGGAAAAGGAACAAGGCATGCTCTGAAGGGAAGACGTTGCAGATTGCTAGAGTCAAGAACAAATGTATCAAGAATCTATTAGTCTGATGTGCTTGTATACTCTATATAGGATGGATCAGCTTTGGATTTCTTGTATTATTTTAGGACGGAACATGTAATATGTTTGGTGGGTGTGTTGGAATTTTGACTTGTACTTGTTTTAGTACCATCTTGGTACCAGTTCAAACAAAATCTTGACTTATATTTAAAAAAAAAACATTATGCCCGATTATTTCCGGAAGTCATTCTAGTCTAGTTAAAGACTTGTATGCCAGCGTACGCAAGAAGTGTGAGATAATGAAATCCTTTAACTTTAGAGAAACCTTAATTTAACCTAAAAGACAAACTGTTACTAGTATTCGAATGAAATTGACCCAAAAGAGGGGAATGGATATAGGGATTTGTATAGTCAGCCCAATCATTTGAGATTGAGGCAAAGTTGATTGCTTGATTGTCTTATGCACCACAATATGTCGTGAATTATTAATTTATAATACCAGGAATTCACCAAGGTTCAGAAATTAGCAAGCTCGAGGCAAAAATTCTGCTCCAGTATAACTTGGCTCGAGCTGTTGTATACCACTATGTATCATTTCTTTATTCATTAATTTCTTGGAGGGGAGTGCTTCTGACAGAGTGGTAAAGCCGATGCAAGCACTTCCTCACTTTCTAAGTCAAATAAGCAACAAGGCGAAACTCATGTACAAGAAGAGTTAGACGGCATAATTATTCAACTCAAGTATATCCAGCTTAGCGAACCCCAGAATACTTTTCTAGGCTGAATCATTATTCTCGAACTCAATATAAATTCTGAAAGCTTGAAAAAGTACAAACATATTACCTCTTGAGATCTTTTACATTGTTCCTCAGCAACTCTCAGGCCAAGTCTAAGTTGATCGATCTCTAGTAATTTCTCTTCACTGTAAAACAATGTATGTTTATCATCAGGCAGATCGATCTAAAGGTTTAAATGAATACAAAACTCATGGCACCTAGATTACACCCAGCTTTATTGATGAGGGTAGTAGCAGCTGTAGAATCAAAGTTTATATTTGATCAACTAGGCATCTCAAGAAATTTTAGGAAATAGATGAACAAGCTATTATATACTCCATTGTCCTAGCACCCAATGTGAGGAGTAGCATTCAATGAAGTTGGTGAAACCCCGGATAGACCAGGTTCAAATGTCAGCAGAAGCAAAATGTTAGGTGATTTCTTTCCATCAGTGCCGGTGGGAGGAGCATGTCCACGGTGGAGTAGTGTAGGTGCATACAAGCTAGCCCGAACACCACTGTTATAAAAGTAAACTAACACACAAAGAGACACACACCATTGTCCCATTTTACTATTCATTTTTGCTTATTGAGTACCAATTTTACTAGAGCTAAATAGGACAAGATTAAACTCATCTTGAAATTAATTTAGATTTCAGAAAGCATAAGTGTAGTACATGTTATGATCTTGCATCAAAATACATTTTAAAAAAGACAACAGAATACACTTGAAAATATTAGTCAATAGCTACTTCACTTGACTATTGAAAACCTTTTGGACAAAGGGAGTAGCAACATACCAGAGTGATAGGGGAGCAAAGGGACAGACAAACCTGAAACTTCTCTCCAACCGCACATTATTTTCTGAGACGACCAATCTCTCCTCAAGGAGCTTGCACTGCATTCTACAACCCTCAAGTTCATTCTTCACCTGTAGTTTAAAGTCAGGATCATAAATCAAGATTCAATAAGTAAATCATACGCAACTGATGTGTACAGAAATGTGCAACATGTTTTGCTAAGTTCATCACCGCAATGGATGTCTTTGATTTCTTTAATTTAGCTATGTGCTTTTCTAAAGCTCTCACAAGATAAGATGTTCAAAGCAAATAGAAAGGATACATTTTAAAATATGGTACTCAGATCTCACAAACAATTCTCTTAATTGTTTTTTAAGAAAAAAGTTCAAATGTGAACTAGCTTTGATTTAACTATGCTTTAAACTCGGCAATAAAATTTCCAAAAATATCACTTTCTGTCGGAAACAACCTCTCTACCTTCACAAGGTAGGGGCAAAGTCTGCGTACACACTACTCTCCCCAGACCCCACTTGTGGGATTACACTGGATTTGTTGTTGTTGTTGTTGTTATCATGTTCCCTCTAGACAGTTTACCAAAGAGAATAGCATGCAAGCACTGAGTCCTTGAAGAGATCTTCAATATCATCCGTAAGAGCCACTGCAGTGTTTCTAGAATATGCTTAAATTGTTCAACTACATCATGTGTAAATCTGAAGGTTACCTCTGTCATTTTCTGTGATAGAGTGGCGATTTCAGCACTATAAGATTTTGCTTTTTCATTGATTGCTTCAACTGTAGCTTTCTCCCTTGCAAACCATATGGCCTTTTCCTCCTCCATTGCCAAAAGGGCATCAGTTAGTTGCTGCAAAGGAAAGAAGGCACACATGAATGACGTAATGGAAACAGTTAAATGGAGCCTCAGAATACATGTTCCCAAAAGCAACTTCAATTGGTACCATAGCTAAATCTTCTTTTTCTTCTACCAGAAAGTTGACAGAAGTTTCCAATCTCTGACATCGTGATTCAGATTCTTCCGAACATAATCTCTGCAATGTCATAGAAACAAATAAAGTAGAAATAAGTTAATGTTTTATTTTCCCGAAGAAAGAACAGTAGAAACTAAGCTAATAAATCATGCTCAAAAGGCAAATCTGATAGCAAAAAGATATGAAAAAGATGGAATCTCAGAGGAAAAGTTAACAAACATAAACTTACAAGGCATGACACCTCTTCCTTCAGCATATTTAGTTCTGTATTTGACATATTCAACTCGTCAGATAAAGCTTGCAATTCACATGCCAAATTTTCTGCTCTAGAAAAGGCTTCTTCTTTTTCCGCATAAGAAATTGTTAGTTCCTCTTCCAAAGAAGCAATAGTTGTCTCCATCTCAAATGCCAGCACTTCCAGCTTCCTGTACTCCTCCTTCACAACAGAAAGGGAAAAGTAGCTTAAGACTAAGCAATAAAGACAACTAACTTCCTCTCGAGTAGAATGCAGGCAATCAATTACTTATTTACTTTTCATATCATAAGGATATGAGATACTCCCTCCGTTTCAATTTTTGCGAAACAGTTTGACTCGGCACGGAGTTTAAGAAGAAAAAAGGCATTTGAAACTTGTGGTCTTAAAAGCTTAAGGGGTAAAAGCTTGTGGGGCTATGACATTTGTGTGGCTATGAAAACTTCTTATTAAGGGTAAAATGAATAAAATGGAAAGTTTAAAGATAAATTGTTTTCAAATATAAAAATGTGTCATTCTTTTTGGACATACTTGTTAGTTTACCGCATGTATATAGTGTAGTATTGTCCCACATTGGTAGAAGAGTAATATGTCCCTGTATAGTATAGCTATAAATAAGGACCACTTGTATTGTTCATCTACTATCAATAATATATTCTCTCGTGTTTTCTCACATGGTATCAGAGCAATTGTGAGAGACTTATCGTGGTGCATAAATTCCAGCGATTCCGAGAAAGAGAAATCAGTACTTTTTTAAGGTTGTTTTCTATTTGCTTCATTTCTGCCAGTGTTGTGCAAAATCCAACACTACCACAAGAGTCGTCACTGTCCGGCGACCAAACCCCAGTGAAAAACTCCGGCAGCAGCCTCCTCACGCGCCACCAGAAGCTCACGCGCGTGAGCTCACGCGCCGGCGCGTACGACCAGTTCCGGCCATTTTTTTAAAATCTTCCTTCAGAACAGTTGGGTCGCCGGGTAATTCCGATCCTACCCCTACTGTTTTCATTTCATTCCGATAACTTTGAGTTTTTTTTCCGGTAGCTACAGTACTATTCCGACAGCTACGGTAGATTCCGGAAGCTACAGTATTTCAGTATTCTGTTTTTGTGTTTCCGTACACTGTTTCAGTGGATTACAATTGATTCTTTCTCTTATTTGGTAATAATTTGCAACAATGTCTTTGGGATTTGATGCTTTTGGGTCTAGAAACATGAGTTCTGGAAGCTCTAGTGCTATTATTACCTCGGAACCTTTAATGGGAGGTTCAAACTACTTAGCTTGGGCTTCATCTATCGAGTTATAGTGTAGAGGTCAAGGTGTTCAAGATCATCTAATCAAACAGTCTAGCGATGGAGATGAAAAGGCAATAGCACTTTGGGCAAAAATCGATGCTCAGTTATGTAGCATCTTGTGGCGATCTATTGATTCCAAGTTGATGCCCTTGTTTCGTCCATTCCAGACATGTTATTTGGTTTGGGCAAAGGCACGCACCTTATATACTAATGACATATCTCGCTTCTATGATGTGATATCACGGATGACAAACTTAAAGCAGGAATTGGATATGTCTACTTACTTAGGTCAAGTACATGCAGTCATGGAGGAATTTGAGAAGTTGATGCCAGTTTCTGCTAGTGTGGAAAAACAACAAGAGCAGCGACAGAAGATGTTTCTCGTTCTTACCCTCGCTGGACTTCCTAATGATCTTGA